AGCTTTTCGAATCCGCCGAACAATCAGTTGAGTAAAGGAACGCCATTCTTTTCGAACCTTCACCGTATTCGAACAAACAGAGGGAACGTCATTCTTTTCGAACACCCTGAACGCCGACTTTTTTTATTGCCTGCTTCTCGGACAACTTCTTCAAGATTGATGGTTGGGCGGGATTCCTCGACAGCAATGTTTTTCGTTAAAGGAGTTCATGATATTCTTTAGTGATGGAGAACAATCAAAGAAGATCAAAAAATTACAATATCCCGCCGGTAGGCATTGAATTGTGTATGCCCACCGGCAGGGGAAGAAGCGTGTTTGAGGTCTCAAAAATTCAAAACTTGCTCCGATACCATGTAGAAAATTATTTGGAAGGAAATTCCCTGTATATTGAATTGGTTTTTTTGATTACAAAGGTCTAACTCTCTTTATATAGGAAGAGAGTAAAGCATATAAGTAAACTTTTATTCCTATCATATTTCTATTCCTACTATAACAAGAACTAAGCAAACTAGGAAAGATACTAAGGCTTCCTTCTTTTGTCGCCAACAAACATCTCATCAACTTGCGTCTTTACTTCCTACTTCCAAGTAATCAATAAAAGAAGACCATCTTGGAGTAAGATGTAATTTTACTTTTATTTTTAGATGTTACATTTTGGAAAGTAAACAAAGAAAATAGTGGGAGGTCGTGTATACAAAAAATAATGAAAATTAACTTTGAAATACTAAAATTAATTACTAGTGTAAAATCATTAATAACTACGGAGTATAATTTATAATAACTACGGAGTATAATTAATGACTACGGAGTATAATTTATAATAACTTGTTATCTAAACAATACATCATCGTCAAATAAACTTAATTATATTAAAGAGAAATTTATCTAAATAGGACTAAAACATAATGACTTTAGGAATATATATTTTTATTTCCCAATGTAGTACTTTTGGTCATTATCAATTAGTCATTATTCAACTAAATGTTCATCATTACTGAACATTATTTCTTCCGCTAGACATTATTAAGTCATATTTAGAAAATTAAAAAAAAAAATTAAGTTTTACATTAACTTATGTTTTAGTCCACATTATAATTAAAAGAAGTTTGGATGGGTACTAAACTTGAAGGATAAGTTTTTGTTGCCAAAGTGCACGGATTAACTTTTTTTTTTTTTTTTAATTTCAAGAACCTTCCCTTTGCCTACTACTCCTTTCACCCTGCGAACAAGTTTGCTAAAAGAAACATTTTTCCGTACCCCCCTTATCCTCCTCTTTCTTTATACGTACAAAGAAAGTAGAGATACCTGCCCCCAACTCAATTTTCATCGGAAAATCCTTATAGCTCATCGATTTGTGAGTTATGGCTTCCGGATCGTCGAATCGGGCTAGCAATTCGGGTTCTAAAGGGTTTGATTTTGCATCGGATGATATTCTTTGCTCGTACGACGACTTTAGTAATCAGGATAAAGCTAATGAAAACCACTCCGATCCTGTGGTTGGTTCCATCTCCACGAAGGTACTCACTTCTTCTCCTGCGAAAATTTCTTGGGTTTTGATTTCTATGAATTGGCCGGGTTGAACCCGTGATTAGCTAGGGTTTTTTTTTCAGTAGTAGGTAAAGCTTCTAAATTTAGTGCTTGAGATCTATTGAAGTTGTGGAATTTAGAGCTTGTGGACTGATTAATGGTAGGATGTCTGTTTTGCGTTTAGGGATTTGCTCAATGATCAACGTCTCGTAAGTGTAGAGAATCAGAATATATGGTAGACCTATCAAATACCAAATTTCATGTTTTAATTTAAGGAACTGTAATTAAGTTCAAAAGCTCATGTTTTCATGATGATATACATATATCCTGGCTGCTATCTTACTCTTTAATTCATTGCTCAGTTTATTTTCTATCTCTTTTCTGGAAAAAATGGCAACTAGATCGGATTCTTGGTGTTATCAGCTTGTTGAAATTGATACTAGGTCAATCAAATGCATTAGTTTGGGTAGTTGGTCAAGAAGAGGAGGAGAGCTAGATCTTGCTAATTAATGGAGTAATTTATTACATAATACTTCTGCAAAAAGTATTTTTCCCATGACATAACATGGAAGGATAAGGACATTTATCTGCTTATTTATCAGTATTTTGGTGGCTTGATTCAAGCCAGTTTTCTAATGAAAGTATACCTAGAATAAAAGGAATAGTCAATTCCGCATTAGTTATGGGTGTAAAACACCAAAAGAGCTGAATATTCCAATCGTTTAAAGTATATATCAAATGATTCAAATCATTCCTAATGCAGCGAATGTTTTTGTGTACCGTAGGTTGGCCATTTATCTTGCACCTCTAATGAATTTGAATTTTGGTATTTAGTACTTCATACTTTGTATCTCAATGTTTGTCTTTCCACTTCACTTTGATTTATTTAATCAAATGTTGGCATTTGTATTTAGCAGGAGTTCCAGAAAAACAGAATGACTAGATCGTCAATTTTCCCTACTCCTGCTTATAGTCCACCTGAAGAATCTCCTATGGATCAAGATGTTTCTGCCATTGTTGAGAAGACCATGAAAAAATATGCTGACAACCTGATGCGTTTCCTTGAAGGAATTAGTTCAAGGCTGTCTCAGTTGGAATTATATTGTTACAATCTTGATAAATCGATCGGGGAAATGCGTTCTGAACTTGTGAGCAGTAATGCTGAAGCAAACTCCAAGCTCAAGTCTATTGAGAAGAATCTCCAAGAGGTACAAGTTAAATTACTACATGCGCCGTATTTGATTACGGAGTATTTATTTATCTATATACTATGTATTATTATGACAGAATTTGAATTCATCTTGGAAACAGATTTTGAAATGCAGTTTGTAGTGCTCTGTTTTTTGTTGACAATTTGACATGATTATTGAGCTGTAGAATCCTGTATTAAAATTTTGAAAATATGCTGGAGTTCCTTGATTTGTTTGGAACATAAATTGGTAGGGGATGAAGGAATCAAAGCCAAGGAAAACGTTATATTAGTATTTGGTTTTACCTCAAAAATATGAAGGGCTCCTCAGGGAGGAGGATAAAATTTGAATTTAGAATTTTGAAAAATTCAACATATATGTAATATCTATAGTTCTTTGTATTTATATAATTGATCCCAACAAAATTCGGAATATACTAGTTGATGTTATTGTATTTTGTTAATTGAAATATGTAATTTATTTGAATTTGATCATACATCTAAAATAGATCTATTTATTGAGTTTGAGCCAATTTTGTTTGTATTATCATTCTCCCTCAAGTTTTCTTTCCATACAAATTCCCCCATCTACTTTTTATCCTTGGCCTTTCTTAGCTGCAAACACACCATCAATGATGCAAGGGAATCCTAATGTCCACCTCTATTTCAATGTAGGAGTATGTGCAGTCCATAATTTGTTACATATTCATATTATGCACAAAAATTGCTTTGCTAGGAAGCACAAAGTAGCATTTACCCCGTAGTATATGCTAAAAATAGTAATACATTGAGCTCAAATCCTAACAAATGTGTTTTTTTTGCAGGTGCACAGGTCAGTTCAGATCCTTAGAGATAAACAAGAACTTGTGGAAGCTCAGAAGGAACTTGCCAAGCTTCAGCTTGCACAGCAGAAAGAATCTTCTCAAGAGAATGAAGAGAGAACCAAACAACAACCCCCTGTTTCTTCTGATACTATCAATAGGGGTGATAGTAATCCTTCTGAAGCTCATGAGAAACAACTTGCACTAGCACTGCCACCCCAGCAGCAGCAGCAACAACAACAACAACCTGTCCAGCCTCCCCCGCCCCCAATTCCCTCTCAAGGGTACTATATGCCTCAACCTCAGATGCCTCAACCTCCTCCAAATCAATTCTTGCCTCATCAAAATCAATACCTTCCGTCTGACTCTCAGCAGTACACTAGGCCACCACCACCACAAACCCTTCAATCTCAGGTGGTGCCTTCATACCAGCAGCAGTGGGTCCCGCAGCCACCACCCCCTATGCAGCAGCAGCAGGCTAGACCACCATCATCACAGCCCATTTATCCCAGTTATCAATCGAGCCCTACTGCGCAAGAGATTCCTAGTACTTTTTCTGTTGCTAGCCGCCCAGAGGGGGGAGTGCCCTATGGGTATGGCAGGCCAGCACAGCAGCAGGCCCCAGCTCAGCATATTAGGCCTGCATTTGGTGGAACCGGGGACAGTTACGTAGTAAGCGGGCCCCACACCTCACTTGGTCAGGGAAGTGGGTATGCAATGTATGATGGGGGAGTCCCACACGGAGGTTATCCTCAGCAGCCTGCTAGCACCTCCAATGTGATGGCTCGTCCAGTAGCACCGCCACCACAGCTGATGCGCAGCCATCCTTACAATGAACTGGTTGAGAAAATGGTGGGTATGGGTTACCGGGGCGATCATGTAGTTTCTGCAATCCAAAGATTGGAGGAGAGCGGTCAGGCTGTTGATTTCAATGCCATACTGGACAGGCTAAATGGACACTCTTCTGGTGGTTCACAGAGGAGTTGGTAAATCAGTAGCCGAACACTGTCTAATTATTATGCGACTCCGTATCATCACAATGGGTTTTTATATATCACTTGAAACATACAATGAATAAAAAGCATAGTATGAAATACGAATAGCAGCTTTGAAATGTGATACATACGGAGAGAATCAAGAGATGCACTTTTATTTCTTCATCGTCATCTCTTCACCCTGTAGCTTCCTTACATTGTTTAAACACTGTTTCTTGTATGAGTATCATGTGTGACTGTGTTTAATTAATCCATTTTCATTCGTGAGATGCCAATCTATTCCAATCGATCCTATTACCATGAGCTTGGAATGAATCAGGAATGAAGTAAAATTGGGTTCTTGTTTATGGTTTGGTTAGCCAAAAGAGCGACGCCCTTTCACAAACATTAAACCCAAGTTCTTATCCTTTTTTTTCCCACCATTATTATGGAATATGGGTTGGGAAAGTTAATGAATTGATTATGTTGCATAGTCCCACTACTTCATTTGTTTCTATCAGAGGAACTTTTAAAAGGGATTATTCCTTAACCAACCGCATTACACAGAAAGTTTAAAAAAACCACTCCGTGAATAAGGCATGTGAAACAGTAATCATATGGTTCACATATACGAGTAATAAATAATATCCTATACGTATTACCTAAACTACAAACCCCCCAATAAAAGTATGGCTTTACAAATGGTAAGAAATTACTTATGCGAGGATTATTTTTATTGAAGGCCTAATAAAGAAATTATTCCTCCCTCGTAAGGACCCAAAGAAAGCTCTAAATCAGCTGGTAATTCTGAACTTCTCACAGTCCTTGGCACCATTCTTGATGAAATTATTGACAAGACCATTCATCATCCTTGATATTGCTTTCTTGAAATCCTCCGAGCTGCCAGCACGTTCCGGTGCACCGACTTTGTCACCATTGATTTCGCCCTTAGTTACTGAACCGATCATCGCACCATCCATGTAGGCTTTGCATGCTGACAGGATGTCATGAGCATGGGTTTGGAAGTAGCCCGCAACTAAGTCCTCAAAGTGCTGAAAATAATAGAGTAACAAAAAAAGAGGAAAAATCAATGCCATAAAGATACAGAGATCAACAATCAATTAAGATGGGAATGCAAACAATAGAACAGAGTTAAAAATGAATGGGATTTATATAGTGTTGTTGGAGAAGGATATATGAGGAATAATGAAAAAAAATCTAAATTCCATTGTTTGGTTGATTGGAATAACTAGGGAAGACAGGCATGGAGACAAAAAAGCTATTTGCATTCAACCCCTTGCTTGCAAAATTGTCCCACAATTAGTTTTTTGTGTGACGTGAAGGGAGTTTGGTGAAGTAGCACCATCACTTACATTACATGAAAGAGATCAATAAAAATTTCAAAAATAAAATACAAAGGTTACTGAGCATAGAAATCATACATACCCTTGGAGGCCTTCGAAGTGTATATATCATTGTTTTCAAGGAGAGGACAAACACATTTTCACTGTAAGTATTGGATCTTCTCTCTCCCTCCCGACCAACATAACTCGTTTCATATCCAGGCTCGTTAAAGAATGGCTTTGCATTTAGAATTAAAGCTTGTATAGATACTAAAACTTGAAGCATGGTTGATTGTGCAGGCACCCACTTCTCAGTACCTTTGCCAGTCCAAGTGTTCAGAAGGCTAAGGCAGACTTTCCCACACTCGTACAGATTGGGATTCAGTCTCAATCCACCCGAATAATAGTAGACCATCTGCAACAATAGAGATTTGATTAATAGTAAAATATACTCCGTATGAGACAAAGGACAAGCAAACTTATACAAAATGCATACGGGAGGTGTATCAGGGTACGTGCGAGGGAATAGGGCATCAAAGACAAAAAGGCCATCATGATAGGGAGTTCCTTGTGGTCCCACAATGACTGCTCTGAGAAGATCCATCCTTGTTTCACAGACTCTTACATATATGGTATCTGCAGAATGGAGAGCGGTGATTTAAGTTAGGCAACTAGCAACCAAAATAAGCTTCAAGCTAGAGCATAAAGAATAGGTCCATTCCATTTATCTATTCTCGAAAGGACAAACAAAAACCTGACATGGTGATCTAGACTTTTGTAGATATGCACTTTTTTTCTAAACCACAAAAGATGGTAGATTTTAGACTTTATCAGTTTATCAACACAAGTGGTGAACACTTATAAGTATAATTTCAATTTGATGTTCAAAATAATAACCCAATTTCTAATTCTCAACATGCCCCCCATCTCCCCAAAGAATATGCATAAAGGCAATTACATATCTAGACATGACTTGAAAGATAAGTTATGAGAGAATCTAAAGTCGTAGCTTCTCTAAACAATAAGCCTATCAAGCTATGAAAAATCCCTAACTTAAATGGAGAAACCATATCTATTGGGGAAAAACCTATGCAAAAGCAAACACTTTTATCAATGCCCAAACAATAAAAAGTTTTAAAATAAAACAAAATGGTCAAATATTTTGTACGAGAACGTTTAAAAACAATGTTATTTGTAAGCTCCAACATACTAACAAAATGTACTCCCTTTGTCCCAAAATAAACAAACGTTATACTTTCTTTTTTCATCCTTCCCAAAATAAATTCTATAGTTTTCTCATTTCTTTTTTACGAAAGGAATATGTGACGCCCTACATTTTGCTCAATTCTAAACATATTTCAACCATACCCTTTTCACTTGACTATGTGAAGTCAAAGTGTAAAAATCATTTTGGGAGGACAACACATTTTCATTGTAATCATTGGATTTTCTCTCTCCCTCAAGACCAATCAGTGTTATACACTTATTACTTTCTTTTTTTCTACTCTAACTAGGTGATGGTTGCTCACCAGGTAAATCATGCTCCAACATCTTCCACTCATCCTGAACTTTCTTTGACCAGGCCTTAGGTGGCTATCAAAAAATACGAACAGATGTTAACCTAATCAATAGTACCAACAAAATCATGATATATATGGATGATAAGCATAACAAGGGGACATATTTCTACCTGCTGCCCTTGGAATCCCAGATTGCTGTAGTGGTGGTCTGAAAAATCACCAACAATGTCAAAACGTTTAAATTTTAGATATTTTCCTATGGCTTGAACACCATCTCCATTATCCTCATCACACTTTCCACAGGAACTTTGTCCAGTAGAACTGCTTGAAGCAGAACACTCAGTTTGTATGCCAACTGGTAGCGATGTGACATTCATAAAGGTCCCTCCACCTGCAGGTTGACTAGAAGAAGTGATAGCAGTGGTGGTGGCAGGAGTAGGTGTAGGTTCCTCCATCCAAGGAAATGCTGCCTCTACCCCAGCAGGAAGCTCAACATTGTCAAACTGTGCTTGCATGCTCAGATAATGAAAATCATCGTCGTCATCAAACATATACTCATCCTCCTCGTCGTCATTGTTGTAGTAGTCCACATCATCCTCGCACATATCATCATCCCAGTCATTCCCATCATCATGGCTAGTGAAATTCGAAGTAGAACCATTATTGTTATCAGAGGCAAGTGGCACAGATGTCGAAGCACTGGCATGATACTCCACACCCTTAGTTAATTCCTGTTTGACGAAACTGAAGCTAAATTAACCAAACAAAACAGGAATGTGCATACAAAGGCCAACGCTGACCAGCAAACTAGAGAGCAAAAAACTAGTATTTCCATGCAAAAAGTATAATCACAAACAAGAAAACACGAACGGCGTCATATCAACTCAGTGTATCACTTCCAAATTGCTTAAAACTTTCACAAAAAATCAAGCTTGCGAGTGCCTAGAATGCTAGTGACTTAATAATCAAGTGCCATTGAAGTAAGGCCGACATATAGTTCCCATGCAAGCACCAAAGCCAGAAAAACAAAAAAAATTAAAAAAAGGCTGCCAATTCACCAAATCAACCACGGGGAATCACAGCACCTCGTCAATAATTCAAGCAAACACTAAAAAACATAAAGAAACTTACAAATCCTAATGCGATCAGAGCCAAATTCACTTCGATCAACAATAATTGTTCGAGGAACTGAAAGATACTGGAGAAACATTCTGAATTTTCGACGGAAACAAAAAGGCGATACCTCGTTGTGCATGAACTCGTTAACGGCGGAAGCGTCTGGGAGTTGAGAGGCCAACCCTTCAGGTTCCGAGACCTCCATTCTTCTGGAATTTGATTTCGATCGGAGAACCCTAAACAGCTTAATTAAATTATTTAGGAGTGGAGAAAATACGGAGATTGAATTGATTGATGAATTTGTTAAAGAACTCAGACGAAATCCAGACCGAGATGGGAGAGGTATTGATAAGGACTCTTTTTTAACTACTCATTATCAAATTTTAATTATTTGTTATCTGTTTTCGTTAGTTATTTGATAAAATATTTTAATTTTTTCACCTCTTATGTTGTAAAACTTTTGAAATAATTTTTTAAATATATAAATTTTATTTTTTAGTTACACCTGCAATCAAATAAATTAAATTGAAAAATAAAGTCGGTCAATCTCATAAACAAAATCAGGAAGAACGTTTTAATATGAAGGGAGCGGAGTAGCTACTCACATTTTTTAACTCTCTCAGTCCAAAAAATAGTTGTTTTATTTTCAATCCAATTTAATTGAAAATTAATAAGGAATTAAATATTAATATTTATATATTTAAAAAGAGTAAATTCCATAATTGGTCCTTTATAACAGAAAAGTTTCCATATTTAGTCCTCTATTATCAAATATTACCCCGTAGTCATTTTTTTAAGGGTACCTTTCCACAAATGGTCCTTTTTTTATCTTCTGCCGTGTTGGTGTTAATTTAAAGGCTAGAAGTATAATTTGACGTCAACATTATGTCTAGTGACGTGTTCTGATTTTTTTTAGAACAAATTAAACAACTTTCATTAATTCAAAAGAGAAATAAGAAAATCAGGGGGGACAAAATCTCAATCACCTGTTTGAGTTTCAACCCGCCTAGCTAACGTATGCGCAACCATATTGAGATTTCTACGAACATGAGAAACCAAAACAGATTCAAACGAGGCCATGAGGGCCTTACGGTCATCAATCAAAGACCCGAAATAAGAAGCACAATCCGACACACCACTATCATTAATTGCCTCAACGACACGAAAACAATCAAAAAAAATAACAACCTGGACTCCAAGACTTTTGAGCCACGACAAAGTCTCCCCGCATGCCATAGCTTCTGCCAACAACGGATCTTGCGGGCACCACAACCGTCGAGCAAAAGCCGCTTAAAATTCCTTAGAAGAGGAGAAAACCACTCCACCAGCACCAACCAAACTTGAAGCATGGAATAAAGCAGCATCGAAAAAACAATGGGCAGCTTCAGGGGGGAACCCTCACCGCCGAAGGAGATAAGGTAGGGGGATCCCTCTATGACTATTCTCCCACCCTTTCGAAAAATTCAGCACCATGCGAACTGTGACCTCTGGGGTTGGCACCCGTTGTTCCCATACGGCTGCATTCCTACACTTCCAAATCATCCAAATTGTCCACAGTATGGGGATTAGCTCACCGGACGTGGCCGTCTGAAACACCAACTGAATCTAGTCCGAGAACGAACTCGCCGCCGATCGATTAGCCACCCGAAAGCTACTGTGTTCCCACACATAATCTGCAAACGGGCAAAGAAGAAACAAATGATCCACTGTTTCACTCCGCTGGCCACAAATGGAACAACAATTATCAATCTTCAAACCTTTGGAATTCAAGGCCGAAACAGTTGGGAGGATACCTCGAAGTGCACGCCATACACAAACCTTTACTTTGGGAGCTACTGGAATCCTCCACAGTCGGCTCCATTGTGAAAATCTTGTAGTTTGGGTAGCCTCCCCCATAATCCTGCGATACCCCGACTTCACTGAGTAAACGCTGTCCTCACTGCCAATCCAAAACCAACTATCTTTACGCCGAGAGCAACAAGGAATCAACTGCACCTGAGACACGTCGCGTTGCACAAGATGAGTTTGAAGCCTCTCTAAATTCCAACAACCCCTATTCACATCAATAAAAAAACTCACCGGCAAGTTAGCACTTGGTGAAGCTAACACAGTGTGAAGAAACGGGTTATCCCGGTCCAACAACCACGGAGTACCCCACGCCATTGTTTCGACCCCATTCCCAATACGCCTGCGTACCCCAGCTTTAACCAACTCTTGGGCTGCCATAATGCTCTACCAACAGTAACTTGGAGTAGACCTCAAACCTCCTTCAAGGAATGTAGAGTTAGGGAAATATCTAGCTTTGAAAACCCGTGACACAAGGGCCTCGGGTTTGGTCAAGAACCGCCACCCCTGTTTACCTAGCATGGCAATATTGAAGTAATGAATGTTTTTGAAGCCCAAACCCCAAAACTTTTTAGGAACAGACAACCTATCCCATGACATCAAATGAATTCCTGAGGCATTAGACCCACCTCCCCTCCACCAAAAGGAATTCATTAACTTCTCAATACGATCACAAACAGACAAAGGTAGACGGAACACACTCATAGCAAATTGGGGCATAGCTTGTGCAACAGTCTTAAGCAAAATCTCTTTCCCGACTTTAGAAAGCAATTTTTTACTCCATCCGCCAATGCGATGTCGAATCTTGTCAAGAATGTAAGTAAAAATTCCACTTTTGTCCCTTCCTAAGAAAGAAGGAAGACCCAAATATTTCTCAAAGTTATGGGCTGGGGTGACACCAAAAAAAGAGGTAACTCGTTGCTTCAACAAAGGGGGGACATTCAGACTAAAACAAGCATTGGATTTATGAAAATTGATAACCTGACCTGAGATCCGTTCATACTCAACCAAACAATCTCTCACTGCACACACCTCATCAGAAGAAGCCTTGAAGAGCAAAAGACTATCATCAACAAAGAATAAATGAGAGATAGGTGGAGCCCCTCTACAAACTCGGATCCCATGAATCGCACCTCGTCTTTCCGCATCCTGTAAAAGTAATGAAAGACCCTCAGCACAAATAATAAAGAGATAAGGGCTCAACGGGTCGCTTGACGGAGCCCTCTGCTGGGGTGATAGGTTCCGTAAATTCACCATTCAGCGCAATCTTATATTTAACAGTGGTAACACAAAGCATAATAAGATTAACCCATCTCTGATCAAAGCCCAACCTCAACATCATAGTACGCAAAACATTCCACTTCATCCTATCATACGCTTTAGCCATGTCCAACTTAAGACCCACCCAACCGGTGTTTCCCCCTTGCTTACGACGAAGAAAGTGACCCAACTCTGCAGCAAGAAGAATATTATCAGAGATCAAGCGCCCCGGTATAAAGGCTGATTGAGTATGAGAGATAATATCTGAGAGCATAAACTTCATATGATTGGCCAAAACCTTCGCTATGATTTTATAGACAACATTACACAAGGCAATGGGTCTTAAGTCTGCAACCGTCTCAGGAATGTCCTTCGGAATTAAAACAATAGTCGCATCATTCAAATTGTCTGGGAAAACTCCCTCATTCAAACATGAGAGAACAAATGTCGTAACTTCTGAACCAACCAGGTCCCACGTCTTTTGAAAAAATCCCGGATTCATCCCGTCAGGTCCTGGTGATTTGTCTAGGTGCATTGCAAAAAGCGCCTTTCGAACCTCCAATTCTTCAAACGGCCTAAGAAGCATATCATTATGCACTGACGAAACCTTCGGCGTAATCTGATCAAAAAAGTTGATTGAGCAGCCCCTATAGAGTCAAAAATATGATTGAAATAATGCCAAACCAAAAGTTTAAGGGCTTCACCCTCACACCACTGTCCTGCACCATCCCGTAACCGGGCAATATGGTTCTTCTTTCTCCGATAAGATGCATATTGATGGAAATATTTAGTGTTAGCATCCGCCGACCGAAGCCAGTGTTGCTTAGCTCGTTGACGCCAATAAATATCCTCCTAATCCAAGAGTTTCGACAGCTCCCCGTTAAGTCGATTAAACTCCCTCAACCCCGTAGCACTATGACACCCCCTAAATCTTTCCACCTCAGCCTTTAAATGCTTAATCCGTTTACCAAATTTATGCATCTT